TCCCTCTGCAGCCACCTCTACCCCCACTCAGAGGTCTGGCTGCCCCTCCAGTTTTGTGGTTCATCCTCGTGTGCCCAGAGCCTGGCGGAGGGGCAAGACAGGGCAGCCTTAGAAAGAGTAGTGGCTCGGTGGTAAAACTGCAGTGCTCTGTAAGGCTGCCCCTCAGGAGAAGGTTCTGGGTTCACATCGAGAGACCCTCTGAGCACACCGGGTGCACGTGTGCCCATGATCCAGGGTTGGCTGAAGCTGTGTGGAGCAGTACCCAGACCCTGGTGGGGACGCTGTCTTCCCTCTCTTACTGTCTCAATTGTTCATGGAAGAAGTTGAATAACTTTTTTGTGTTTTTCTTTGCTAGAGGTTGTTTGCACAGGCCAGAGTGAGAGAGAAGAGAATGCACCCCTCCTGGGGGATGGTCACACCACAGTTCCCTCTCCGTCTCCCTGCTTTTGGGATTTGGGGCATGCACGTGTGCCTGGCGTATTTCACAAACCACCAGGTCCAGGACTCAAACCATGTGATTGGCACACAGGATCTGGCTGCCCAACCACCAGGCCACACAGCTAACCCATAAATAGCTTTTAAAAAGAAGAGTGGGAGGAGGAAACAGACAGGTCCCACTCTGGGAAATGTCAGATCTTTGGTTCTGAGGCCATTGAGCTCTCTCCAGACTCTGGGCTGGGAGTTTTATTTATTACCTCACTTGGTCCCCGTAACGACCCAGTGTCCTCCGTTTATGGAGAAGGTGGTGATGCCAAGGGAGTCATGAGGAACCCAACCCAAGTCTGTCTGCCTCCAAGGCCCGGGCCCCTAACCATGCAGTACTATTTTCCAAGTCCATAGTAACTTTTTTTTTTTTTTGAGAGAGAGATTTTTGCTATAGGGCGCATGCGCTTGCCAGACAGACAGACAGAGACATAGAGACAAAAAGCGAGAAATCACCCCCCAGAGGGGATGGTCACGCCGCAATCCCTTCTCCTCCATTCTCCTCTCGGGATCTTGGGCACGCACGCACACGCGCCCAGCATGAGTTTTATGCCACTGGGTCCGGGACACGAACCACGGTCGACTACGTGGGAGTCCAGCAACATAGCCATTACGCTAACTGCTGGTTCCCCATAGTAACTTTTGTAATTCCCTCATATTTACTTGGAGGCATGGATACTTCTCCAAGGGGCCTCTCATGACTGTTTTCTTGTTTAACTTGCCAAAGGCAGCTGCTGGGGCGACTGGGCAGGCGAGGCTGCCGTGCTCTGCAGGCCGGAAAAGCCTTGCTGCTCTGCTCCTGTGGGGAAGGGCTGCAGCCACTGCCTCGCCACGTCGGGCAGAGCCAGGCCCGCAGGCCGGGGTGGGGGCCGCGGGGGTGCGGCGCGCTCCGTCCCCGCCTGGCGGAACGTGTGTGCTGTTGCCTCTTTGCAGACATGATTAACAAGCAGGACTGTAAGTACGGGGATAACTGCACCTTCGCCTACCATCAGGAGGAGATCGACGTGTGGACCGAGGAGCGGAAGGGCACCCTCAACCGCGACCTGCTCTTTGACCCGCTGGGGGGTGTCAAGCGTGGCAGCCTCACCATCGCCAAGCTCCTTAAGGAGCACCAGGGCATCTTCACCTTCCTCTGTGAGGTACGGCCTGCCGCCCCCCACCTCCGTGGCCAGGTCAAGCTGAGGGGTTGCTCCCTGGCACAGGCCAATGTGGAAGGTCAGCCTTGGGCCTGCGGTTTTGGGGGCCAAACCTTAGGATCAGTAAATTATGAGCAAAAATTAGGCCCAGAGGATCCCTTATTGCTAGAGCCCCAATCCCTTCCAGCACCTGCATTTTTAAGAAGTAGAAACTGTGGCCAGGAAGAGACGTGACCCTCACAACTGTTCTTTCCTGAGAGCTGGTCCAGTGCCGGGCTGGGCACCGGCTGCTTTGGGCACAGCAGGGCAGACAGCAGTTATCATTGCCCCCCTCTCACAGATGACGAAGCTGAGGTTCAGGGAGGTGAGGCTGCCCCTCAGCTAGGACAGTGCAGGCGTCCCACCCAGGCAGTCTGTCCCAGAGCCCACGCCCATCTCCCAGCAGCCCCTGCCACTGGTGGTCCCCACTGCCAGGCCCCTGTGACATGGGCACACTCCCAGCAGTCCCCTGAGCTGTTAATGCCCTCCCTGGACCTGTCACAGAAGTGCTCAGCCCCTGCGTCCTCACCCAGTTGTGGCATGAGGGCAGGGGCAGTGTCATGTCCACCTCCAGGTTGGGGTTACTAGTAGGGTTTGTGTGGCTCCCTGCACAGCTAACCCTGTCCCCCAGGGAGCAGCTGGGGTGGGAGTCACAGCCACAGCTGGCGGCAGAGTGACATTGGCAGACCACCTGCAGTTTCTCTTCATCTTTCTTTGCCTTCACCATGACTATGGGACAGAGCAGGTGTGGTCACCCTCAGTTTACTGTTGAGAAAACTGAGGCTTAGAGACATGGGGTAACCCCTGCCCCAGGCTTTGGATCAGAGAGACAGGCAGACGGGGAAGGGAGCCGGGCCCAGGTCACCTGTGAGCCTGAGCCAGGGGGCCAGGGCTGCAGACTCCGGACGCCCCTCCTCACTCCCTCGACCCAGGGCAGGGCTTGCAGGGACCCAGCCCACCCGTCCCCAGGTGGCCGTGCGGGGTCCCAGCCCACCCCCTCCCTGGGCAGATCTGCTTTGACAGTAAACCTCGGATCATCAGCAAAGGCACCAAGGACTCTCCGTCCGTCTGCTCCAACCTGGCCGCCAAGCACAGCTTCTACAACAACAAGTGAGCAGGCTTCAGGCTGGGCGGGCCAGGAGCCCCTGGGGCAGTTCACATGGCTGCGGAGGGCTGTGTCCTGGGGGGCAAGGCAAGGGGCAGCCTTTGGGACCCAGGTCTGTCCTCCACCTGGAAAGGACAGGAACCGCGTTTTCTGAGCACCCACTGTGCCCTACGCACCGTCTCGGGTGTTGAGTTCTCAGCGCTCTGTGAGGGAGCAGGGGCTGTCCCGTTGTACAGAAGGGAACGCTGAGGCTGGGAGTAGTGCCCTAGGCAGGCAGGTGCGGGCCCTGAGCCCTCCACTGTCGTGTGGCAGTGTAGAACAGTGAGCGGGAGGTGCTGGGTGCACCTGGCGCCCTCCCCTGTTTTCCCAGTCACCCCCTGTGGCTTGTCCTGGCATGGATGACAGAACCCAGGCCCTGGACTCAGACAGGCATGGGTCCAAGCCCCAGCCAGGGCAGCAGCCTGCTTCATGTCCCCCAGCTCCTCCAGGCCTGAGTTTCCTCACCTGTGACAGTGATGAGGTCCAACCACTGGGGTTGCAATGAGGGGACTTCTGATTCGTGACCTGGAGGAGAGACTTGGTTATTGTTCCTCGGGGTGCAGCACCAGCTCTGGGGCGTCGAGCTGGAGACCTGGGGCAATGACTCTTCTGCGACAGGCACGCCCTCCTCCCAGCTCGGAGTAGGTGGGCCTGTGGCCTCTGCTTGTTGGCATCTCCATCTCGGAGCTGGGCGCAGACTGCAGCCCGAGAGGGGCCCTAGGACGGCCCCGTGCAGGACCCACCTCTTGCTACTGGGTTCCGGCGCATGTGGCACCAGCTCATGGAGCAGGAGGGGACCAGGCCAAGGCTCCCTGCCCCGGGCTGGCCTGGCCCAAGGAAGTGTGGCAGGTAGAGAGTGGTGAGGGCTGAAGACGCATCATGCCGTCCCGCCCGCCCACAGGTGCCTGGTGCACATCGTCCGCTCCACCTCCCTCAAGTACTCCAAGATCCGCCAGTTCCAGGAGCACTTCCAGTTCGACGTGTGCCGCCATGAGGTGCGCTACGGCTGCCTGCGGGAGGACAGCTGTCACTTCGCCCACAGCTTCATCGAGCTCAAGGTTTGGCTGCTGCAGCAATACTCAGGTGAGGGCCAGGCCGGGCAGGGCCAGCTCAGGGCGGCCACCAAGGGGCCAGTACTGGTTAGCCAGGGCCCACTGGCTGCCGGAGGAGACATCAGGAGAGAGCAGAGGAGAACCACACTCTGTTCTTTCTTTCTTTCTTTCTTTTTTTCTTTTTTTTAATTTGACCAGAGAGAGACAGAGGGTGAGAGTGAGAGAGGAAATGAGAAAGCTAGCCACCAGATTCAGGACTTGAACCCTGGTTGGCCATGTGGGAGCATGCAGCGCCTTAACCACCACGCCACCTGCTGGCCCCCAGGCACGCCCTGTTCTCAGGGGGCTTCTGGGCCTGGAAGCTCTGGGTTTCTCCTTAGGGCTCAGCTCATGGGGCACGAATGGAGGTGGGAGTGGGAGACGCAGACAGGGCTGCCCCAGCTCGCTGGTGACCCTCGGCCAGCACTTCTCTCAGCTCCCTGCTTACCTGAGAAGTGACAGTCCTGTCCTCCGCCTCGCAGAGCTGCCTGCGATTCAGAGATGTTCTCGCCTCGCTCACACATCTGCCTGGGTCAGCTGAGCACTTCCTCTGTGCCGTGAGCTATCAGGGCACATATCCACAGAGGACTTGCATGGCTCCTCGGGGGCCAGACAGCAGGGTTCAGTGGGGAGGAGATCCGGTATTCCTCTGCTCTGGGTGCACGCTTTCCCGCGGCCTGTCACGATGAGCACAGCAGTGCCGTGTGCGTGCAGGGCCAAACGTGGGTCAAACGGTGCCTTCTTAGAGCTGCCAGAGTGCGGTGGTGAGGTGTCAGCTGTGCCTCAGTGCTGCAATTTTGGGAAAGGAAAGCAGAGGCGTGAGACAGAGGGACTCAGGTGGGGAGCGTTTTACCTCAGCTGGGCCAGCAAGGCTTCTCTGAAGAGGTGACATTCGAGCAGGACAGGGCAGGGAGTCCATTCCAGGCCAAGGAAACCAGAAGGCTGGAGGGCCTGAGGCAGGAGCAAGCTCTGCACAGAAAGACCGTGTGTGGCGTGTAGAGCAGCTTGGTGACTTGAGGGCCATGGAGGGGGCATAGTGACTGGGCCTGAGAGGCCAGCAGGGGCCCAAGGGTGTACGGCTCTACGCCTTACGTAGGAACCACTGGTATCATTCCAAATATGATATGCAGTGTCTGGAGGATTTCAAATGGGTTGAGTCGCACGGTCTGATCAATGTTTTTGTGAAGTCTCTCGGGCTGCTTGGTGAGCACAGAGGAGCAAGGGCAGAGCAGGGAGCTACAGGAGGATGTAGCCCAGGCCAGGTGGCAGTGGAGGAGAGACGTGGTCAGATTCTGGGAACATTTGATGGTGGAGCCAAGATTTGTTTTTTGTTTTGTTTTCTCTTTTTTTTGGAGAGGTTTTTGCTATAGGGTGCATGCACTCGCCAGAGAGACAGAGAGACAGAAAGTGAGAAATCACCCCGCAGCGGGGAGGGCCATGATGCAATCCCTTCTCTTCCATTCTCCTCTCAGGATCTTGGGCACGCACACACATGCGCCCAGCGTGAGTTTAAGCTACCGGGTCTGTGACTCGAACCGCGATCGACTACATGGGAGTCCAGCAACATAGCCATTACACTAACTGCTGGTCCCGCCAAGATTTGTTTTGAAGCATGAGGTAGAAGATGGTGTCCAGGTTGACTCCAAGGCCGAGCACTGGAATAATGGGGTTGCCTTGTGCTGAGATGGGGAGGCCGTAGGGGGGATGGCAGGGCTGGGTGCAGATGTGGGGTTCCAAGCTGCCTGTCGAATTTCACAGCAGCCAGGCATGGGGTCTGGAAGGCAGTGCCTGGGCAGCTGCATGAGCAGAGGACATAGGACGAGGAGGAAAAGGCTCGGGAGAGAGTGCAGGGGCTGAGAGGAGGGCAAACTTCCTGGAAGAGGCAGTGCACTGGACCTTGGGGGGTGGACTTGGCATCAACAGTCAGACTGTGGGATTAGCCTGGGAGGTTCCAGGCCAGTGAGCTGTGGGATTTGGCCATTGGAGACTGGCAGGTAGGGGCAGTGGTACCTCAGTGAGCTGGTGAGCCAAGTCCGGGCAGGCAAGCAGCCCTAAGGACCAGTGGCTCCAGACTGCCCAGAGGGGTCAGGCTTGAGATGGGAGATGGCCAGGAAAGGGAGCTGAGCAGCTGGCCCAAGGGACGGAGACGCTGAATGGGAGCAGAGCCCGTGCCATGCTGCAGCCAGCAGCTTTCTACTGCGCTTTCCCACCCTGGGCCGCGTCTCCTTCTCAGCTCCTGCCAGGGCTTGGTGCCGATGAACACGCAGACCCAGAGAGGAGGCGTGCTTTCCTTACACCCATGGCTGGGGACCGGTGACACTGGCTCCTCACAAGCCCCAGTCTCTCTCTCTCCTATCTGAGCCCCTTTCACGATGCCTGTGTCTGCCCTCCCCTCTCCAGGCATGACCCACGAAGACATCGTTCAGGAGTCCAAGAAGTACTGGCAGCAGATGGAAGCCCACGCAGGGAAGGCCAGCGGCAGCTTGGTAAGGCCCTGGTGGCAACAGCACTGGGGTGGGATCAGGCCTCTAGGCTGTCACCGTCCCTTTACTTGACTTGATTTCGGATGTACTGGGAAGGTGTAAGATTAGTCCAAAGGATTCACGTGTATCCTTTTCTGGACGCCCCAGAAATTAACATTTTGCTGCTTTGCATACTCACTTTGTCGTGTGTGTATGTGTGTTCATACGGTCATATATACTCACATACATGAACCATTTACATACACGAACACGCGCTTTTCTGTTTTTGGAACCATTTTGCACATTTGATGTCCCATGACCCCTCAGTACTTCAGGAGATATTCCCTAAAAGCAAGGACATGCTTACATAAGCACAGTGCGACAATCATCATCACAGAATTGACACTGGCATGGCGCTGTTCAGATTCTGGGCCTTGTCCTGGGACCCCGGACACCTCGGTGGCGCCCGTGGGCAGCTGGGCCCACAGCCCTCTTCAGTGACCCTGCGGCTCGCAGTTGCTGTGCCTCTGTAGTCACCTCAAACCCCGGTCTGTCATTGTCTTCTGTGACACTGGCGGTTATGAAGAGCCAGTTGTTCTGTGGGAGGTCCAGCCTCGCCATGGCTCGCACTGGAGGGCACATCACCTCACTATGTCCTTTAACTGGGGATAATTTGATTAAACTTTGATAATTTGTGATTAAAGCTTCTGTCCGTCTCGATCTTCACTGTGGTCCTGAAGATGCAAGCTATGAGATTATGGCATTTGCAGCTGGGGAAACTGAGGCTCAGAGCACATGAGAACCTTGCCCAGTGGTGCAGCGGGCAGGGCAAGTCCCAGGTTCCCATGCTGTCCAGAGTCTGCTCTGCCTCCTCCCCACCTGTACTGTCCCTATTGCCCTCAGCTTCCACATTCATAAAATGGGTAGGTGTGGGGCCAGCAGGTGGCATGGTGGTCGAGGTGCTGGACTCTCACATGGCCAACTGCAGTTCAAGTCCTGGACCTGGGGCCTGCTTTCTCGCTTTCCCTCTCTCTCTCTATTTCTCTCTCTCTCTTTCTCTATCTCTCTCTGGTCAGATTAAGAAGTAGCAGGGATGGGAACCAGCAGATGGCCTAATGGTTATGTAATGGTTACATCACTGAACTCTCATGTAGTCAACAGCAGTTCAAGTCCCGGACCCAGCAGCTTAAAACTCATGCCGGGCGCGTGTGCGTGCGTGCCCAAGATCCCGAGAGGAGAATGGAGGAGAAGGGATTGTAGCATGGTCATCCCCCCTGGGGGGTGATTTCTCACTTTCTGTCTCTCTGGCGAGCACATGTTCCCTATATAAAAAATCATTCTAAAAAAAAAAGAAAAAGAAATAGTAGTAAAAAAGAAAGAAAAAAAGAAATAGTCGGGAACCAGCAGTTAGCGTAATGGCTATGTCGCTGGACTCCTACGTAGTCGACCACGGTTCGCATCTTGGACCCAGTGGCTTAACACTCCTGGCGGGCGCGTGTGCTGTG